CCCACCAAGGCTGCTGCCACACTGCAGAATTATGTAGTTTGCCATCATATTACCTGCCATGACTCAATGCTATGGAATCCTGAGGTTTGTAGTTTTAAAGACATTTATTCTTCTCTGTCAGAGAGCTCTAGTACCACAACAAATGACAAAACCCAGGATACCATAGGATGGAGCTATGACAAAGCAGTGTCAAGCTGCATTAATTTTGCAGTGTTGCAGTGGACTAAGAGGTTTGTATAAAATTGTTAAAATCAAGTAAAAACACTGATTTCAGGAAATCTACATTTTTTAAAGCAGTATTTTATCAGAAGATGAAAAACAAATCACCATTCTATATAGTGGCTACTTAGCTATTTTCCTGAATCCAAAACCTTCCATCATGCATATGGAACCTCTATGCACTCTCAACTGACTGACCCATTCAATTCAAGATCAAATGGGGCTCCACATACCTAAAAGAATATTCATGCAGAATTGTGTTGACTATTTCAGCAAATTCTTAAAGTTTTCCTCCCATCTTTCTTTGGTGCACCATTATAACTTTGCATGTTTTAGCCATGTGTATAACGCTATGATGGCAACAACTTTAAAGCTATTCAATCTGCTGGTAATTCTTCTGTCATCTAATCGGAGAGGGTATCTCACATGTGGTAGATACCCTCTTCATGTTGGATGCGTAGTTTCACTGCTTAGGTTCCTAAACCCACATTGCCTTTTTACCCTTAAGAGCTCTTCCTGAATCTAGTTCTCAATCTCCAAGTTAACTACTATGCTGAACAAGTGAGTGTGTTTATTGTTGGGTTCAGTTTGATAAGCTATGACTGATCCCTCTCATTAATTCTTAAATGAAAACATTTCCCTGGACTCTTTTCACACTTTCAGCTACCATCAAATTCTCTTGTGATCTAATCTACTCCTGGCTGTAACAATTTCTGTATTCCTAATTGTCCCTGTCTCTAATTGTCCATCTTCAAATTTAATACATTCCTATCAGCCTCCATCCTTGTTTCTGTTTCTAACTGGCACTATTTGATTGCTTTACCATTTTATATTCTTTCTGCACCCTGCATTCTAAAGGCAGCTGACTTTGCTCAGATTCATTCAAGCTCTTCTCTTGATACTGGGAGGTGGGGGTGGGGAATCAATCTGATTTAATAAATTGATAAAATCAAAGAAGAAATTACTACTGTGGTAAATTTCTGAATGGGGCACCAGAAATGTATATAATCCATAGGCTAGATTACAAAGAAGCTAGCACATCACCAGTAGAATCTATTTCCACTGTCCTTCCAACAATTGGCAGACTCACAGACAGGGGAAAAATAGAAACAGAAACCAACAGAACACTCAAGGCAACACTCAAGGCAATCTTTTTTCTCAAAGTAAGAGAAGACTCTTCTCCTAACTACTCTAAGGGGGCTTGGGCTAAGCTTAGGGTGCTATAGATGGCACACACACATGGATTGTTTCACCCTCTGATGTGAAGAAGATGACTTGGAGCAGCAGAAGTCAGGGAGGCAGTTCTAAGAGAGAGGAAAGCCAGGAAGAGAGAAGTTCAAGAGAGATGCAATTCAAAGAGAAGGATTATGTCTGAGTTTGGGGCATTGCAGATGGGTCTAAAGGGCCAGCCTGGGGGTGTAGTTGTTG